AATAGTTCATGCTAAATATAGAGTTAATTATAGAGGAGGAACATTTTTAGTCAAAGCATAATGTATAAGGATGATATTAGGCCACTATGGTGATATGAATCTATTCAAACTCAGTATTTACCTATATACAGAAAAAAATCAGCATGCAATAGAATGCCATGCACAGAACCTGTTGTAAATGTCTATCCATTGTCTTTGGAAGGAGGATAAGGTATAGGGAGTAGAAATTAAAAATACGAAGGAATTGGAGTTATAAATGGCTACAGAACCATCACTTACCATGAGCTAGGCAGAATGTTGTAGCCAGATGTGTTGGTGGTGTACATCTGTAATCCTGGCACTAACAAAGCCAAAGCAAGTAAGTTGTAAACTTGAAGACAGCCAGAAAAACATAACATGACCCTTTCTCAAAAATACAACAACAATAAAAGTAGGGATGGAAGGCACATAAATACCTACAAATACTGGCCCTGCAGACATCGGGATCCTGTGAAGAGAACGGGTCCTAGGCACAGGAGAAAAGATGGACAGGAAGAAGAATATTGGTCTCTTAAAGCACCAATATTATCGAATGGTAAGAGTGCTGTCTGGAGTGGGTAGCTATTTGACAGCTAATGCTCTTTCTATGTGTCCTCCAGTGGGACATGGAGGCATGGTTGTTTGAATGAGAATGTCCTCCAAAGGCATGCCCAGCTGTGGAGATGTGTGGGGGAGGTTTAGGACATGTGGCATTGTTGAAGGAAGTCTGTCACTGGATGTAGGCTTCGAGAGCCTAAAGACTGTCAACAGTTCCAGGTTTCTCTCTCTGCTTCAAGTCTGCATTAGAAGATGTGAGGTTTCAGCATTCTAACCCAGCTGTGAGGATTGCCATCTCCACCTGACAGAACAGACTCTAAGCCTCTGTTAAGTATAAGTCAAAATAAACTATTTCTTCTATAAGTTTCCTTGGTCATAGTGTTTTATCATAGCAACAGAAAAGTAACTCATACAGGAGGTTACTAAACTCTCATTCCCCGTTCCCTTCCCACGTGAGGGCACAATATTCAACCTGCTCTCTCTCTCTCTCTCTCTCTCTCTCTCTCTCTCTCTCTCTCTCTCTCTCTCTCTCTCACACACACACACACACACACACACACACCTTTCTAGGACTATTTCCATGCCTGCTGAAGAATCATTCTAGAATGTCAATAGACATATTTACATAGACCTGAAAGGCCTTTAGAAGAAATATTGGTATGATATAGGCATAAAGATTCAATTAAGGTACATCTCAAAATAACTTCATGCAGACCAGCCCATTCTGCTACTTTGTAACGGCTGGTTCTGCTGCTCTGGTCTGAAGGTCAGGGTCTAGCAAGAGAGAGAGTGGGGATGGAGGGGCAAGAGACGTGAAAAATGGAGACAAGACAGAGTCTGATCAAGTCTCGTTTATTGAAAGGAAATCCTGGGTATTTATACCCTTTACCACATGCCTTGCCCTCATGGACAAGCTCAGCTGAAGGCACTACATCATGTGCCTAGCAGCATGGAGACCACGTGCACTAGTTAGCAGCATGGAGACCACGTGCACCTAGCTGCTGGTGGCACTAAACAGCAAAACAAAATGCTTATCAGAGTGTGCTCAGCTGTTGTGGGCTGTTGAAAACAAGTCTCTTGTCAGGGTATATGGCTCGAGATGGCTGCAAAGATGATGGCTGCTTTCAGTTAAGAGTCAGCTCCCAACAGACCAGGGTGACCAACCAAGTGAAGAATAAATTGTGAACATTATTTCTCATAGATAAGCATCCTGAGGCATCCCTGGCTCCAGAAATAAGAGTAATTCTGTATACTACAATGGCCATTATTGCTTCACACTTTCCCATATAACTTTTAATGTCCAATGCATTTCAATTAAATTACCACATCTAGTTGCAGGGAATGATTAGCTCATATGTGGGCACGGGCGTGGGTTCTTGAATCTTGTTGGGCTGTTGTGATTCCCATGACTCTAAAGAGACTGGGGCAAGGGAATCTTGACTGAGTTCACTCCACGCCCAGCATGAGGCAGGCGCTATGGGGTCCTGCCCGGCAGGGGGAGTTCTCACTCAGTCTGAAGTTCTGTGGGGGCACAGAGCTCTTGGATTGGGGATCCCCAGGCCAGGAGGTGGCTGGGGACTGACTGGTCTCTAGCCCCTGGGCTCTCAGATGCAGCTGAGAGGCCACCGAAGGACCGAGACTGGGGTCATGTGGGTGTGTGACCATCTGACCCACAGCAGAGAGAAACGAGGTGGGGAGAGAAGAAAGAGGCCCCAGGACCACCCTTGGGAGAGACTCAGCTACTGTACTCGGTTAGCAGACTTGGAGGCCCGGCTAGCTTGCTTGAAGATGCGGTCCCGTGGCTGGAATGCAGAGAGGTCCTCCAGGTGGGAAGTTAGGTGCGGTGCTGTGGGCTGGGCATTAAAGGTCTTCTCCGCATTTTCCCATGGCGGGCCCCAAAGACACGAGAAAGTCTATGGTTCCAAAAGGGTTTATTTTCATGGCGGATGGTAGATGGATCTGGAAGCACCCCTGTGAAACTCAGGGCAGACCTGAGTTAAATAGGGAGGGAGAAGGGGGAAGGGTCTGGGGAAGAATGCTTAATTGGCTCTGCTCTCTGGCCTTCAGGTATCTCATTAGTATGTAAATATCTCTAGGGTCTGAGGCCTGCAGTCATGCCCTCTCTAGCGAAACATAAGGTCCTTGTTAATGGAGATGTAGCCCATGTGTTAGCCTGGATTCTGGGAGCATGGGGAAATGTATTCCGTCCCTTACAGGGTCTCTGGCCATTTCCAAGCCAATGCTCTACCAAAACCCAAGACCCCTTCATGGTCCTACATCTAGTAACACATTTAATGATACCTTCTAAAATATTTTCCTCTTTAAAGACACCAGGGACTATATCACACACATACAAACATATGCCATATAATATCACGTAGGGTGAGATTTTACCATTTGTTTAGCCTTTTATGTCAACCCACTACATTTTACCACTTTCCTTTAAGGCATACGCTGAGGGGTCTACACTAGAAAATGAAATGTATATAGTCTTCAGAAGATAACATTTGGTAAACATATTTCTATCTTTCTCTTTATTCTACACAAAGGTAGAAGGAAGAAAGGGGACATAACTGCAGAGTCGGCATGCCAACAACTAACAGGATGAAGTGAGAGTTGTTGATGTCAAGGACTTTAACTTAGTGGACAGCGGGGAACGATTATGTACCTTACTTTTACTTTTCTATGTTAAGATGCTTCATCCCCCACCCCACCTTTCCCTCTTAGCCTTTTCCAGGTATTCTGCTTATATACTATGGGTTTCAATGTGCATTTTTAGGGGATTTCTGCATGTGTCAACGTGTGTTTGTACATCTATGTGTGTTTCTTGGGCTCTTTCTTTGGCTCTTTGTGTTTCTGCTCATTTGTTGTCCTATTCAGGTTTGTTTGTTTTTATTTTAACTTAATTTCTTATGTTTTTCTTTTTAAAAGATGCCTGTTTGTTTTCTAATAAGAGAGCAAGAAAGGATGTAGATTTGGGAGGGTTGGAGGAAGTGGGAGGAAGTGGGAGGAGTGGGAACCATAACTCAAATACATTATATGCCCTCCTATCTTAAAAAAAAAAAATTAATCACAGTTAAAAAAAAAAAAAAAGATGCGACAGGAAGTGGTGGCGCACACCTTTAATACCAGAACTTGGGAGGCAGAGGCAGGTGGATTTCTGAGTTCGAGGCCAGCCTGGTCTACAGAGTGAGTTCCAGGACAGCCAGGACTATACAGAGAAACCCTGTCTCGAAAAACAAAACAAACAAACAAACCAAAAAAAAAAAAAAAGAAAAAAAGAAAAAAAGAAAAAAAAAAGATGCTCCAGTTGGATACAGCAGCTCTGTTTTGTAAACATGTTAGAAATGAATTTTTCCTCTCACTTATGGGACAGTTTTATAACAGTCCATTCATGTGCATTTAGATATGCACGAATACAGAAAAAACATAACAGGTTATAAAGGCATCAGATTCAACAATTTGTAAATAGAATTTTATTAAAGGTAAATTTTTGTAGTGTATTTTGGTTTATTGTAGTGTATTTCATTTATTTATTATTTTTTAATTAAAAGAACCCTTTAAGACAGGGTTTCTTTTTGTAGTCCTGGCTGCCTTGGAACTATTTCTGTAGACTAGGCTGACCTCAAAATTATAGATCCACCAGCCTGTTGCTCTCAAGGGCTGGGATTTAAAGTGTGTGCCACCACTGCCTGACATGCATTTTGGGTTTAACATAAATTTTTTCCTATAGAACTTGAACTCAAATTTGAGCATTGTTTTTGGAAGTAATACAAATTTTAAGAGGTACTGTCTAATTAAATTTATATAATTAGGGTCGTTCTTTAGAAGATGTAATAGGTACATAGTCTATTCTTTGGTCCATTTCCTGTCGTATTGTGAGGAAACTCTTCTACCACAACCACCTGTCACCATAATATTGTTCATTCTGCTCTGGGACAAAGTAACAATGAACAAAATCCTTTGAAACCACAATCCAAAACAACTACTTCAAATCTTAATTTGTGTCTGATACTTAGAGTGACAGAAAGATAATGAATAGAATAAGTCCCAATATCTATCTATCTATCTATCTATCTATCTATCTATCTATCTATCTATTGTCAATAGTCTGTGTATCTCACTAATGTATACTGAACATTCCAATCAGGACTACACACATACAAAGGTATGCACCATGCCACTTCCATTTTCCTCCATTATTGTTTCTTATACAAAGTATACATGTTTCCCATATGGTCATGTTGAGTGTTCTGTAGGCAAAATTTGAACAAAAACAATAACATGTAGAAAAATTCATGTTGTGAGAAGTAACTGTGTAGAAACAGATGTTTATTAGCACTGGTGGTCTTTGCCCGCTACATTCACTCACTACTACCAAACTAGTTGTAAGAAGAGTAAATGACCAAAGCCAAAGCTTAATGTACACTTGCTGGAAATACCATTGTGTTTATTTGGTAGTATACAGTAGGATGCTTCATTTCCAGTGCCATCTCAGACAATTCCATCAGGAAATTAACATGCAAGTTACATAAACTGAATTTTCTCCTCCAAATTTATGACGTACAAGAATGTTAAATTTCTCTGAAAATGCCACATATAAAAAGACATATATGGTTGCATGGAAGACGATTCCTCTAATCCAAGCTCTCAAGAGCATGAATCAGTGTGACTGTGAATACGAGATCCGCCCATGGTACAAAGAATTCAAAGTCAGCCTGGCGTGCATATTGTCTCTCTAAACGAGGTGTGATTTCACTGACAGCACTCAAAAATGATGATTAATTTGTTGTAACTTCTTCTAGATTGCTTATAGTTTCTAAAAATGGACTCATGGGCATGAATGTCGAAACTCCAGATGATGTGTAAGAACTCTCACACCGAGAACCGGAAATGTGTGTGCTGCACACACGTGTGATTGAATCACACTCAAGCTCAACTCATTTTCACATCGCACTTGATATCATGCTTGCTAATGTGTGAGTGCAGTTTTTAATAACCTGTAGACTGATGGGGTTCCTACTGTGTGTCTACAGCTGAATCCCGAAGTCACTATACTGATGATGTAATGTGGCACCTGTGCTCGCCTGTCTCAGTCCGATGCTTTACTGTATTTCTGTTGTGTTTCTGACATCAGCTGAGGTTTCAAGTATTATTTTAAAAGTTGCTGATATTCTTTCTTATAGTTTAACCACAATGTGGGATTTATTGCCATTTAACACTTTCTCACTTTTTTTTAATGACAAGATTTCACTGTAATCCCTAACTGAACCAGCACACACTATGTTGAAGAAGTTAAGCACTAACTCACAATGCTCCATATGGCGCTGCTCCCTGAGTGCCCACCGTGCCGAGCTTTCCTTGGTCTTTTGATTTCATGTCTTGCTATGCTATTAGACATCAAGTCCAAGTGAGTCTTGCCGAGACCTCCCACACAGCTCAGGATGAAAAGCCGTAACTGGCTAAATCATTTGCTATACACTACAACAAATTTATGAGCATTTCTGTAGACTGAGGCCTGTCTTAGGTATCAAAAATTTTCATGTCATATATATTGATATAGTCTGGATGAGATTTCCATTGAATGCGCTTTATGATTTAATAAAAAAGTGCTCTAGTATTCTTTATATTCAAAGGGAAATTTACCTGTATATACTGCATGATGTCACAAAAGATTTGACCTCACAGAGTTGTTTCACATTCCCTAAACTAATTGATATATACATGGAGATGAGGTAGGGACCTTTCTTATATCAATGCTTTCTTGAATTTGTATGAATTCTCTGCGATTGTCTCATTTTATGGTAAAAAGTTTTTATGTGTGTTCTTTGATGCCAGTTAAGTATTACTGTCCTCTATATCTTCAGAGTTTGTCATCTGTGTGAGTTTTCAGATGCCGAGTGAGATCTGACTTGGTGTAAAAACCTTTCTGGCATTCTGTACATCCGTAAGGTTTCTCACCTGTGTGTGTCCTCTGGTGTCGAGTGAGTTCATATTTGCACTGAAAGGCTTTCCCACAGTCTTTACACTCATAAGGCTTCTCACCTGTGTGCTGTCTCTGATGGACAGTGAGCTGTGAATTACAGTAGAAAGCCTTTCTGCACTCTTTACATTCATAGGGCTTCTCACCTGTATGTGTTCTCTGATGTACTGTGAGGTCTGACCTGCGGTAGAAAGCTTTCCTGCACTCGTTACATTTATATGGTCTATCGCCAGTATGAGTTCTCTGATGTCGAGTGAGGTCTGACCTGCACTGGAACGCCTTCCTGCAGTCTTTACATTGATAAGGCTTCTCACCCGTGTGAGTCCTGTGATGGACAGCGAGTTGTGACTTGCAGTAGAAAGCTTTATTGCATACTTGACACTCATAAGGCTTCTCACCCGTATGAGTCCTGTGATGGACAGTGAGCTGTGAATTGCAGTAGAAAGCTTTATTGCATACTTTACATTCATAGGGCTTCTCACCTGTATGAGTTCTCTGATGTACAGTGAGGTCAGAATTACGGTAGAAAGTTTTCCTGCACTCTTTACATTCATACGGCTTCTCACCTGTGTGAATTCTCAGATGCACATTGAGCTGGGACTTGCTGTAGAAAGCTTTTCTGCAGTCTTTACACTCATAAGGTTTCTCACCTGTATGAATCCTCTGATGCACAGTGAGGTGAGACTTGCAGTAGAAGGATTTCCCACATTCTCTACATGCATGCGGTTTCTCTCCTCTCTCGAGCCTTTGATAGTGACTGAAGGCAGACTTAGAATAGAAAGCATCTCTGCATTTTTTACAGTCATATGGATTCTCGCATGTGTGATCTCTCTGAGGTGTGCTATATTGTGGCTTCAGGTACAATGCTTCCAAGCACACTTCACATTCATAGGATTTTGTCCTTCTGTGGATTTCCTCATGAATCTTCAGTTCTGCCTTAAGATAAAAGAAGCTATTACAATCTTTATATTCACGGGGAGTGTCCTGTAGAGTTTACTATCTGAGCTTTTCTTGTTGTGGTTTCCTAATGATACTTCTCACAATGACTACATTGAAATATTTCTCTCTACTGTTAAACATAACTTCATTTACTAAATTTAGTCAAAGAATGTTATTTCACATACATTGTATTAGAAACTTTGCTTCCTCACCTGCCTCTTGACTTGAATAAATGATGCCTCATCAAAGACTTTCCCATATATATTGAGCTCATTACAGCTCCCCTGCAAATGACAACTTCCGTGCTAATAGCCCTCCTTTGTAGGTTTTCCTTGATTCTAAATATTTAGAAAGACATGATTAGCTGCTGTTAAGGATACTCAGAGACTCAGGATAACTGAAAGGGTTCAATTACTTTAAAATTAGCAAATTCCTCTTAGCCTGCATCTTACCAGGTTCACCAATAAGAAGTTCATCTTGCCATAGAGTAAGTTTCTGAGAAAACATTTCTAAAATAGTTTCCACTCTTTATATTCAACTATGAAATACGATTTTGAGAGACTTGGAGTTAGACAGATACCTGATTGATGGACAGTTGGGAGAGGGGCTGTAACTAGCTAATAAAGATACTGAACTTCCAAGATGGCAGCTTCTTCCTCACTCTCTTGATCTGAGATAAAAGCCTGGCAGCTTAAAGTAAGGCCTAGTGGCCTTCTTCACCAGCCAGTAGAACTCCTTGCTGACAGATCTCCAACGAGTTCAAGGATGGATCAATGCATGTTCACCAAAGCATTGGCTCTATTAGCCATTCTTCTTTTGTTCATACTGATCAACCCTAAATTAGGGGAGGGAGATCCCTTAAATGCCCTGGAAACCCCCACACCATCAATGAGAAGCTGGACATCAGCCTCCTGAGGGTTCCCTCAGCTCTGCAGAGGTATTTTCTCTGTGTTTCCTCACCCCTATGATAACATTTCTTCAATGGTTGATTTGACTGCTCTGTCTGATATTGCCTTTGATGCTAATGGCTACACTCATGATGTTTCCTTAACTAGGAGAGAAAATGAACCCGATCAAGACTCCTGCATATAGCCACCGTTTATGCTCACATCAGTTTTACCTACTTCAACCAGTTCTTCATTTGATGTGTGGCTGTTGATTTCAATTTGCCAGAAATTTCTGCTATCACTTTTCTGGATGCTATCAACCAGGCTACTCACTTTGTTGACACCTGAAAATATTTAAAATTTCAATTCAATGAATTAGGCACAAATTTATTCAATTCAAACACATTGAACTTTTAAGATATTCTCTTATAACTGTACACAGTCTAGTCTTCAGTGGATTGGAATTACACTGTGCAGTAGCAGATATTGAGGTGCTGAGTCCTGGTTCTCTATTGCATTGCTGTGCTGTTGAAACACAAGGCAAGACAACCCCATTTCTCAGGTGTAGGTCTCTCTGTAGCCATGGTCCCCTTTCACTCTTCTGTCTGTCCTGACTCTTTATTATCTGAATGCAGAATGTCTTACCTTCTTCTCCTAGCTACGCATAAGACTTAGGTGTTGTCAACATTCTGTCTCCCAAGTACAGCGTAGATTAGGGAAAGACTACTACACTGTTGTGTTCCAATTAGTACACTTTGCTCTAATAAAGAACAGCAGGCTCCTCTAATGGTTTTATAGGAATGACTTTTTTTTTTTTTTATGAGAAATGTTGGCTGTGGCTTGTCTTTACACAAAAGATTTAGTTACTTTGTTTTAAATATCTTCTGTAATAATTGCTTGGAATTCATGGAGTGATTCCGTTTATGCTTATATGGTGGTTTGAATAGGAATATGTAGTGGTATATTTCCCACTATATTAAACTCGGTATTTTGGGAGGAGCTAACATGGGAGGAGTAAGAAGGAAGAGGAGGAGCTAGGAGGAAGGAGGAAGAGAGAGAGGGGAAAATGGCAGCAGATGTACATGTCTCCAGCAGTCTAAGGTAGTTGTAATATCTAGGTTAGGTATTGGGTAACATCTCTAATTGTGTGGGCTTCTTGTTATTTGAGCATTACCAAATATATAAAGCTATTGGATAATCTTTAAACATTAGAGTCTCATTTAAACCAGGTACTGTGTGAATGGCGGCATGGTCTGGGCTCAACCCAGTCTTGTGGAGACAGCCTGGAAGATTGGTGGAGCCATCTCCCATGCTGGTATCTCGTGGGTGCCAGGGCCAGTGTTTCTGGCTGGCCGTTTCTAGCTGTGGTGTGCCTGTGGCCTCTGGCTGCTTCCAGCTATGGAGAGCTTGGCTTCAGGCTGCAGAGCATGGCAGTCTGATGGTAGGCCTGCACAGCCCAATTTATTAAATATTAACTGTAACATGAATGGCCCCCATAGACTCATGTGTTTGAATGCTTGTCCCATGAAGAGTGGTACTATTACATGTGGCCTTGTTGAAGTGGCCTTGGTGGAAGTATGCCACTGTGAGGGCTGGCTTTGAGGTGTCATATGCTCAATCTACACCCAGTGTGGCTCACAGTCCCTTCTGTAGCCTGAGGATCAGGATGTATAACATCAGCTCCTTCTCCAGCACATATCTTCCTTTATATACGCTGCCATATTTCCCATCATGAAAATAATGGACTAAACCTCTGAACAATAATCCAGCTCCAATTAAGTATTTTCTTTTTTAAGTGTTGCTATGGTCATGGTGTGTCTTCACAGCAGTAGAAAACCTAACTAAGACAATGCTTATTATACAGATTCATAATGTTCTCTGGTTTTGACTTTGCTACATAGAATAATCTTGATTGGCAGGGTTTGTTTGTTTGTTTGCTTTTCCCCTGGGGTTTAAAACACCTAAGACTATACTGTGTGAATTTCAGAGTTTCTGTCAAGATATCAATTATGATAGTATACTTATATTACCTAGGTATGGTGGGACATGTCTTTAATGACAGCACTCTGGAGTTAGGGGCAGGTGGATCTCTGTGAGTTCAAGGCCAGCCAGAGCTATATAATGATTTTTGGGCCAGCCAGAACTGTTCAGTGAGACCCTGTCTCAAAAAACAAATTGAAACCAGAAGACAAACAAAATAACTGTACTTTTTGTTTATAGTTTTCAATATTCTGCTTATGTTCTGTCCTCTTGGTCTTCTTTTTCTTTTTAATTTAAAGATTTATTTATGTATATGAGTGCTCTATTTGCATGTATTCCTGCATGAAAGAAAAGGGCATCAGATCCCAGTATAGACGGTTATGAGCCATCATCTGGTTGCTGGGATTTGAACTCAGGACCTCTAGAAGAACAGTCAGTGCTTTTAACTGCTGAGCCATCTCTCCAGCCTGGCCTTTTAAACTATAATGCCCTTTGAGGAAATATTCTCAGCTCCTGGCAATTTGTGATTGTAATTCTGTATCTCTAGATATCTGTCCTGTGGCCAAGATTTGTACAATACTGTATACTAATTTCATGGAGTATGTTTTCTGTCTCTGCCTTTACTCTTGGTTCATTCCTTAACACAAGATTCACAAACTGGAGATCTCATAAAACTACCTAAGAGGTCGTCAGTGTCGAGCTTATAATTGTTCTGTATGTTTTCCTCTATTACTATCTAATTGTGAGGCCCTTGTTTCCCCCTCTGCTCCTGATCAGCATCCCTGTGTTGGTTGTTGCACTGTGGCACATCATTACTTTGCTGGACTTTGGTCACACGAAAGGGGAATATTTTAAGAGCTTATGCATTCGTGTGATTACTAAGTATCATGATAATTGCAAAGATAACCAATAGTCAAAAAGACAGTGAGGAAATAATGTCAGTAAATGTCTAACTTAAAACATACAGTGAGAAAGGGAAGAGAGGAAGCACCACTGAGCACCACTGAGCACCACTGAGCACCAGGTAAAGTCACCAAATTATTCCCAAAGACACTCAAGGCTGGTAGTTTAATGCAAAGAACTTTGGGAAAATGGAATAAACCAATAGTCTGGTCCATGAGACCAACTGTCCCCAAGACTGGGTTTAGCCTAATATGACCAATATCTGATGGTTCTTTCTTGCTTGTAGCCATTCACTGACCTGAGAGGTTCCAGACTGAGGTTCCTGCTGTGCTCCATGGCCCAAGTCCCTGTTCTAAGTTGAAGATCAACTCAGGTTTGGCCATGCAGTGCCCTGTGAATGAGATATAATGTACAGATTGTATCAAGTCTACTGATAATTTCCTACTAATCAAGTCTACCACTGGAAGGCAACAGCTACATCTTGGAAACTACATGATGATGAATGACTTAGAAACTGTCTTCTGTCTTTCTTTCCTCCTCGTATTCCTTTTCTTCTTCCTCCTCTTCCTCCTCCTTTTCCTCTTCTTCCTCTTCCTCCTCTTCTTCCTCTTCCTCTACTTATTTATTTATTTTGGTGGATTGGAGACTAAACCTATGGCCCTGCACACACTAGGAGAGTACTCTGACAACTGAGCTGTAACCCTAGCTCTACATGAATTACAAACTTCTATTAAAGTAAGTTTTCATTCATGTTCTCCATGATTGGAATGTTGTCCCCAAGTGGCTTTAACTAATGAATTTAAGAAACCTCAAAAGGGAGATTGGTTGGTGGCACAGCAGGTAAAAGTGCTTGTTATGCAGGTATGAGGACCTGATTTCAAATCCCCAGAATCCATGTAAAGTCCTGGCCTCACTGCACATACACCTACTTGTAAACCAGTGCTAGGCCCTGGGATGAGAAAATAATGGCAAAGTATCTACTCAGTGAGAGATTAACTTCTAGACTCTCTAAGGACCTCATTCATCTAAAGACAGAAAAGAAAAAGGGCTCATTAGATCTGGACAAATAGCCTGAGTTGTTCTTAAATATGATATACAGATATGTTCATAAATAAAAACGAATAGATTTCCCTCAAATGACTTATCACCAAACAGTAGACAGAATGATATTTTTATGATACCAAATGAAAAGCTGTAACACACTGAACAAACATACGGTAGCATTTATATTAGGACAGCTACTACAAAAGATACTATGATGATTTCTAAAAACTGAACCTAAAACTACATTAATGTCCTGTCCAGCAGGACATTAAACAAGGGTCCGGGGAGGTCACCTGAAAGGGGGGGGGGAAGCAGGCAAAGACGAAAAGAATGACAACCTGTCTATAATCTGATCAGATCGTAATTTTTACTTTTCCACACACAGGTTATATACACAAAAAGGCAGCACATGGGGAAGGGGATGACGCAGGAGCGTAGGTGTTCAGGGGGAGTACAGATCTCTTCCAGAACAGAGTGTCAGCTGGGTGAAGGTTCAGGGGACAGACCACTACGACTCCGCCTATGATTCACTTGTCTTTATCTAAGTTGGTACTATCCACCAAGGTTACCCATCTACAAGGCCGTTGTGTAGCCAGGCTTGGCAGCCTTCCACCAAAGCTGCTGTTTACAATAACTCCCAGCTATCTGTTTCAGTGTTTTTCCACAGAGACCCAAGACTTGGTGCTAGCAGGCATGTATGTCAGGCCTATTGCTGATTTTAGGCCTATGGCTGATTTTAGGCCTTCAGTGTATAAGCAGGGCTGCTCCTGACACATTAACACTGTTCACTGTGGGATGCACATGGTCAGAGGAAATGACATCCGTATTTTTCAGGGAAATCTGCTCATAAGCATACTTTAATAGAATATCCTGTCACAGTGACAAGCACAAGAGCATTCTGATGGGCTAGACTGTGGCTACTCTTCTGGGCATGATTAGCACTGTCTTATAACACAAGATGGCCTGAGTCACAGGGATGAAATGAGAAAACTCTGCAGCAGATCTCTAGGTCTTTGGATGTAACAGGTAGGTAGACAGTCCCGGATGAGACTATCCTGAATCTCTCGGCTGAGATTCCAGCCAGGGCACACTTTTGCCCAGGTGTAGGTTGGTAAAACTATGGGTAAAAACTAACAAGAGTAGGGTTTATTGTTTGGTTAGTTGTTGGTTTTTTGTTTTATATTGTTTTATTTTTTGGAAATCTGAGAGCCAAAAAACTTGAATGTATACCAAGAATTAATGAAATTTTTCTTTGGGCAATAAAACTCCACCCATATTTGGAACAAACACATTTTTCCTATGTCTCCCCAGGAAAGTTTGAAAGTTGTAGTTTCATCTACATAGATGAAATACATCAGTCATAAAATAAAAAATTCTCCAAGTTTTCATTATACTTGCAAACTACAGGTGGCTTCGAATAGGAAAACAATGATTAGCACAGCGAGGGAAAACACAGGGATGAAGGGATGGAAAAGGGAAGGTGAGTGTTCACCGGGAATATTAGGAAGTACAGTACTATAGTAAGCATATGGATGACACCAACTGAAGATTTCAAAACAACATCAGAGAGATTTTTAAATGATCCCGATACAAACAGCTGATCCCAGAACTGATACACTATCAGTTAACATCAGTCTGATCTCTAGACACTACACGCATTACAAAGCTGCACTGTTCTTCATAAATTGCATCATTGCCCTGTCGATTAAAATGTACAATATTGCTGGGCAGTGGTGGTGCACGCCTTTAATCCCAGCACTTGGGAGGCAGAGGCAGGTGGATTTCTGAGTTCAAGACCAGCCTGGTCTACAGAGTGAGTTCCAGGACAGCCAGGGCTACACAGAGAAACCCTGTCTCAAAAAAAACAAAACCAAAACAAAATAAAAAACAAAAAAATGTACAATATCAAATCAGTATTACAAACAAGCAACAACTGTACAATTGGTACCGCTGAGATTTACAAAGGAGTCAGACTCACCCAAGGACACCAGGCTGCTGTAATTCTCCAGCATCACGTCCCTGTACAGAGTCCTCTGAGCAGCATCCAGGTCCTGCCACTCCTCCAAGGTGAAGTTCACAGCTACGTCCTCAAATGACACCAACACCTAGAATGACACATTTGACTCCAATTCAAGCTGTCCTCAGCCATAGGAACAAAACTGGGAATTTGGTGTTTTATGTCTTATCAGCGCCTTATTAAAAATGTAGCTTGTTTTGGATTCTATATCACGATAGAAAGAAAAATCAACATACAAGTCTTATTTATGTGTTAATCTTTTGATTGAAAAAAATACGATTAGAAAGTTTTCCAAGGAATTACAACAGAAACAAAAATCCATAGAAGAATACATGTATGTGGATGGTCTGTAGGATTATGAGCAAAGGTGATAATACATATAATCATGTAAAAATGACATTAAATCTGTAAAGAACAGGCAAATCAATGAAAAGGCAGATGTTGGGGCTGCCACACCCCTGTGTAGCACCACTGTGACACAGCCCATGTAGAGGGGGCAGGGCCATGACTTTGATTCTGAGAGATTGGCGTGGAAGAAGGTACAAGTCTTAAACTGTGGAATCTACAAGGAATCATATAAATCTATGTAGAGGTTGTAAAAAAATGTCATACTGAAAGTTTCCTCAATATGTGAGAACCAAAATCAATTCTGTATCAGATGTGTTGTAGGAATCCAGGGTGTCTCTGGCAGTGCTCACCCATGATGCGCCAGGTGACTTTGGCGTAGCTGTTGTAAGAGCACACACATCCCCTTCCCACCATGGTTCCATCAGAGCACCCAACTCCAGGAAAGACGACCCGAAAGGCCATGGCTCACATGTATGTCTTAAACTACAGGGTTTTAATTGTAAATATATTTTCCTCTCTCTCAGAGACATGATGATTTTTTTTTTTTTTTTTGGTTTTTCGAGACAGGGTTTCTCTGTGTAGCCCAGGCTGTCCTGGAACTCACTCTGTAGACCAGGCTGGCCTCGAACTCAGAAATCCACCTGCCTCTGCCTCCCAAGTGCTGGGATTAAAGGCGTGCACCACCACCGCCCCGGTGAGACATGATGATTAAAAGAAAACATTTTCCATAGTCTTCATTTAAGCATCAAACTAATGTCTATAGAAATTGTATTGTTAGAAACACATGCTCTTTCATATCTGAATATGGAACCTAGCTTTCATCTTTAACGTTAAAATTATATGTATAACAAAGAATTGTTTCAATATAACTTTTTTTTAAATTTTTCATCAGTATAAATGCCTGAACTATTTGTATACCTATATATCCTCAGCCATATACAAATGTCTTAGATGAGCAGTGGTCATGAATGAAAAATTATTTAAATACACTAAATAGTAGAAAATTGATTATTCCTTTATTTATGGACACAAACAATAAATATCTTCACATAGCCCAGGTCCTTCTGGAAAGTATACATGGATTGACAGACTTCTGTGTTCTGTATAGTTTAGAGAACAACTATATAAAAACTCATTCTGAGCCAGGCAGTGGTGGCGCACACCTTTAATCCCAGCACTTGGGAGGCAGAGGCAGGCGGATTTCTGAGTTCGAGGCCAGCCTGGTCTACAGAGTGAGTTCCAGGACAGCCAGGGCTACACAGAGAAATCCTGCCTCGAAAAACAAACAAAACAAAACAAAACAACATCAACAACAACAAAAAAAACCCTGATTCTGGATTGCCCTGGCACACAGGTAAGAGCTCCATAGTGGGCCAATGTATTAAGTAATTATGAAACAATTCCAAACCACTAACTACACCCTGAGGAGGTTACCTACACTCTGCTGTTCCACTCAGACAAGTCCACATGAGTCAGGAGCACAGGAGAAACTTGGGTGTTCTACACCCGCAACGTGTGTTTCCTCTGTTTTCCTCGAAGGGGATCAGGGCAGAAGTTAAAATGTACTGAAGTTTTCCCTAGAAGGAACTCCCAGCACGGTTTACTCACTCTAACAGTTAGAGTCACTATTGCTGCAACAAAAAACCACCATGACCAAGAAGCAAGCTAGGGAGGAAAGGGTTTATTCGAATTCAGATTTCTACATTGCTGCTGTTCATCACCAAAAGGAAGTGAGGACAGGAACACAGACAGCAGCATCCTGGAGGCAGGAGCTGATGCAGAGGTCATGGAAGGGTGCTGCCTACTGGCTTGTTCTCCATGGTTTGTTCAGCCTGCTTTCTTATAGAATCCAGGTTATCAGCTCCCAGATGGCACCATCCCCAATGGCCAGGTACTCATCCATTGGTCACTTATTAAGAAAATGCCTTACAGCTGGATCTCATGGAGTCATTTCCTCAACTGAGGCTCCTTCCTCTCTGATGACTCTCGCGTTTGTCAAGTTGACACAAAACCAGTACACTGCTGATGCCAAGACTCAAGCTTTTATATGGCTTGCCAAAAGGAGTGAACAGGGCAGAGTGAATGGAGAGCTCCAGTAGTCTGGAGGGCCCTCAGCCCTTCCTCAGCCTGTGCACAACACTCCTTACCTTACTGACAGCTAGCTTGCCCTGAGTGCAGAGTGCATCAGCTTCAACAACGCCTACCTGAGGGGATACAGATTAAATCCCCAAGCTCTAGAGGAAAGGGACCTGGATGTATGCCAGTCTCCATGGGTCACAGAGAACACATAACCACTTCCATGGTCTCAGATCCCTAGCAGTATTACAGAAAAGGAGAAAACAAAACAAAACAGGTCACTGAGATTTCTTTGGTGGCTCAGTTGTGTGGGTTTGATTCATTTGGAGTTGACTTCCATGTAAAGTGACAGGTAGGGTTTAGTTCTTTTATGTGTAGATATACAGTTTTCCCAGCATCATTTGTCAAAGGCGCCATGTCTTATTCAATGAATCTCTTGGGCATCTTTGTCAAATATGAGATGTCTGTAATTATAAACAATCTTTTTTAGATCTACTTTGTTTTACTGTTCATCTTCATGTCAGTGCCATCGCTCTCTAAGAATGCTGTGGGGATTTCTGACTGAGATTCTGCAGAAGCTATTGCTTCTAGTAAGACGGCCACTCTCATACCTTTATTTCTACTAATCCATGAGTACGGGGTGGGGGTGTGTTTCCATTTTCTATTGTCTTCTTCAATGTCTTTGAAAATTTTTTTCTAAAGGTTTCATTGTAGAAGACTTTTATTTCATTGGCTAGCATTATTCCATATATATATACGTATATACATATATGTATCTCATATACATACATATGTGTGTGTGTGTGTGTGAG